TTCAATGTTTTATTAGTCATATTTAATCATAAATGTGCTGGTTTTGGCAAATTTCATTCTTGATATTGCATTTTCAGTTGGTCTTTATTTTAATTCCAGGATCCCAGTATTAAATGTTGTTTCTGAAACTGCAGACACCGAGGGCTCTAGTTTCGCAGACCAGGCACAACGGGGGCGCAGCGCACCTGCGCTTCGCTAACTGGGTGTGGCCAGGTGGATTTTGTAAGTTTGGCACACCGTGCGCCTGGCGCAGCTACTCCTCTTTCCCACCTCCGTCCCTCCTACCGGCGCAAGTCGGAAAGAGGGAAGAGAGAAGGCATGGACTGGGTTTTACACACATCACACCAATCAAATGAGCCCCTCTCCTCGCCCTTAAATGCGCCGCGCGAAGGTGTAATGAGAGTTTACTGAATTCGCCATGGCAGAAGAGAACAGCAGCGTCAGACAGCCAAACTTCTCCCTGGAGGAAACTGATGTTTTGGTCCGGGAGGTCCAAGCTCGCAGTGTCCGAATATATGGAACTGCGAGCAGACCTCCACGGGCTGATGATGCAAAGGTAGCCTGGGAGGAGGTCACCACAATTGTAAATCAATGTTGTGTTTCTCTTGTGCGCGTGCGCTCTCTCTCTCTTTATCTCTCGCAGTCTCACTCTGTTTCTTTTCTTTTGACTTTTCTAAGATGACAGATGCTGAATATATACTCCCTATCTGATGCTGTGGCTGTTCATGGTTGGCTGAGAGGGATGTGAACTCATTATTTTACAGCTGTTTAATCAAATCAGGTTGGGTTTCCATTACGCGTGCCAAATGTGCCAAACGGTGCCAATCCCCTTTGATCTGACATCAGATGTGAAGGAACAGTCGATATAGAGATACATTTATGTGCTGATTGCAGATAGTTGCAATGAATAGTGGTTTTGTGGCTATTTATTGCATTGTTAATGTGCCTGATATTCTGGAAACCTGCCTGTGAGGTTTTGGTGATGTGTGCGCACTGTCCGCCGGTCAGCCAAACTTCGGCTTACACCGGCTGCACTCCGCCTGCGCTGACAGTAGACCTGGTTTCAGATGGTGAGCTTTTAGCGCACCTTCGGCGAAGCCTTTTGGCACGAAACTGTCACTGCGCCAAGCTGGATCTGTCGACACCTCCCCCTGCTGTTTCCATCCCCCATTTTGTGAATCAACAACCAAAACCCATATATATATATGGCTATAGTCACCAGACACAAAGCCACACAAGTAAGTAGCCATGTTTCCATCAGCCTGTTTAGATGCGCATCCAGAAGTATCGCATCGGAAAATTATGATGGAAACGCCAAAATTCGAATTAAAATCCCCTGATTCGCACAAACTAAAATACGCTCGCTTTAGCCGGGTTTTGGTTGATTCAAAAAAGGTTGATTCGCAAAACGGGATGGAAACAGTTATGTTCGAATGAAGTCTGACATAGCGCATCTCTCTCCGTGGTGATATTCACACTCCGGGTCGGGAAGGCGGTAATGCATTTACAAGCTGGTTGCCAACCGCCGGAAAACGCAGAAGAAGAAGAAGAAGAAGAAGAAGAAGAAGAATGCGAATCGGAAAATTATGATGGAAATGCTGTGCTGTGCTAAAACGGTGTCAGAAATCTGCTTTGCATTCTGCCTGAACACGCCTTTACAACTCAGTTAATAACTGTATTATTTCAGGAAGGAAGTTGACCCTAACACTAAGGTAACAACCATGCCACCCTCTTTACATGCTCCACATGTTTAAATATTATATCATATTATATTCAGTGGTCTTCTGGTAATTTTTTCTTCTAAAGTAAATTTATTAATGTGTATTGGATATGATTGCTCTGTAAGAAAACGTCTTGGTTGAGCCAGGTATCTGGAGTACACCCTAGACGTAAGTAAAGTCCTCAGGCAAGACGCCCTCTCTACCATCCAGAACATCGCCGGAAACACTGTGGGGATGCCGCTGGCCTGGAACTTCGTCAGAGCAAGATGGAGCCAGATTTTCCAGCTGTAAGAGATCACTCCTCAGGGAGGGTTTGATGGAAAAACAGTCAGCAGTCTGAAGGAATGAATTAAGGTCGGAGGAATATTTGATACACAGAATCCACAACAGGTGCCAGCTGAGTGTAAAAGTTAAAAATGCTGAGGATTTCTAGGTAGAAATGTAACTTCCCCAGCTGCGCATATGGTGGTTTTTATCCTTAACTTACTCACCCAGTTTGCTGAGTGTGCAAGCATTTCTTCGACCCTTCCCTTTTTTGAGTTAGCTTGGAAAATAGTCAAGTCTTTGACAATGAAGCATGAATAACTATATTAAGTGCTAAAAATGTTGAACTGTTTTGAGCCTTTACACCAACAGCACCAGCCTTTATTTGCAGACTTCTCCGTTTATAGGTTTTTTTATCTGTTGTTTTCCCAGAAAGATGTTCAGTGGGATCAACAGCAGGATATACACAATTTCCCTCTGCTAATCACCATCATTATATCACTATACTTTTAAAGTAAGCAGCATATTTCTTTTCTTTATTAGGTATGGGGGTGGATCATTTTCCTTCTCTAACCTCATCAGCGGGATCACAAAGAGATTCTCTACAGAGTTTGAGTTGCAGGAGGTATGCAGCCTGCACAGCCACAACCACACTGAAATACACACTTCCCTGAGGGTTTTCAGAGGTTTCAGTTTTTCTGTCTTTGTTTTTTGCGTCTCCCTTCAGCTGAGGAAATTCAAAGAAGACAACCTCCACATTGGTTTTGGCTCCGCCACCTTGGCCCTGGAGCAGGCTATAGAGAAGACAACAGCCAACATTAAATGGGTGACGGAGAACAAAGCCCATGTGCTGAGGTGGTTTACTGAAGAGTCCACATGAGAACACTGAGAAAGTCAAAGTCAGACACTCTCTCTTTTTTTTTTTTTTTTGTACTATCAGGGATACATAATGAATGACAATCACTATAATCATCATGATCAGCAAATGGTGTGGTAAAGACAAGTGACACAAACAATACCTCACTGGTCATTCAGCACAAAGAAACGACATATTATGATCAGTGAACCACTTATATAACCATATATCAGTGATGTAGCTGTAATAAAGAAGTTGAACCTTCACCCCTAGTCTGTGATTGTCAGAGAGAAAAGCATTTATTTTTAATCTCAGAGAGGCATTCATTTTATGTCTTTTTCTTTTCTCCATACTTCACATTACGTATTGCTGCTTACTATGATGTATGTGAGCCATGTGCAGAGCACCAGAGCAGCTTCAGAGTTCATAGGCATTCATTTTACAAGTGGCTGAAACCTGTGAGTGTATTTAGTGACCCTAATCATGACGGGATGTTAACTTAATGCCATATTTAAAAATGACTGTGTTATATGTTATTAACAGCTATGATAAATTAACATTGCCTGCAGCTTATTTGATATACGTCATTCTCAACACTGGTTGAAATATTTGGATAAATTGGATAAATTAATCTGATTAGATTTGTATTAGTCTTATTGTCATTTGTCCTTTTTTAAAAACTTGATAACATCATAAATCATTGCACTATAGGGTGTACTAATTTTTGCCAGTCCTATGCAAAGACTCAATGGTGAAATAAATAAGAAAGGCTCAGACAGACCTGATGTCTGTGTCTGTTTTTCTCTGTTTTCTCTTTTTTTCCCCTGACAAAACCAGAAACTGATGACCGCTGTTCAGTCTGCGCATAACACTTAAATTTGAAGGTGGTTTTTGAAAGTGATAAAATCAAAGGCTCCACACGGAATTTTTTTCCCTGTCCATACTTCTGTGTGGGTGTATGTATGACTTCACTCCTTTGGAAAATCAGTCTGATCACACTGTCATAATTACAGCACTTACTGGGAACTGAAAGGAAATCTTCCACCTCACTACAGAGGAGAAAGTCTGTTTGAAACATTTGTTTTGGCCGTTTAAAGTGACAGCATGAGCTAATAAGACAGCTTACAGACTCTTTATGACCTGTACAAAGGTGAAAACAATGAAATGGTTAAAGAAACTGACAAAGTCAGTCTACCAGTGACGGGAAATACTGCACAGCGTGTGAAAACTGTTGTGTAATGTCTTCTGTAGAGAAAACAGCCTAAGGGACTTCACACGGGTATGTAGGCTCGGGCTTGAGGAGCACAATTTTTAAACAGGAAACAGTCAATGAGTATGAAACAGACTTAAATGGACGTGCACTTTTATAGCATCTTCTAGTCTTCCAACCTCTCAAAGTGCTTTAACACTACTCGTTGCATTCACCCATTTGGGTACACATTCATACAGTGGTGGCAGAGGCAACCATTCACACAACAGTGACACAGCCCCATTATCTTGCCCAAGGATACTAAGACATGTGGACCGTGGGAGCTGGGGACTGAGTCACTACCGCACATAAAAAATGGCTGCTCAGCGCAATTTCACTTAAAGATCCAGTTTGTAAGATTTATGGACATTTAGTGGTGTCCAGCGGCAAGGATTGTAAATTGCAACCAGCTGAAACTTCTCCCGATTTAAATTCCCTCTGTCTTCAGTTCAAGAGGTTTTTCCTGGAGACGCATTATCCACAGAGGTTCTCGTTCTCTCCAAAACAAATGGACCAGGTGATTAAAACCAGTAAAAACACTGACTAAAGTAGCTTGCCCAACACCTGCGATGTGTGTTCACCTTTTTTCTCTGATAACTGAATGTGTGCTCACCTTATTTCTGTACCAGATGTTCAAGAGAATTTTACGAGGAGCCACATTATCCGCAGAGGTCTCTTCCTCGCTAAAACAGACCAACCCAATGATTTTAACCAACGAAAACACATAATAAAGCAGCTTCACATCACAAATCAGTGTTTTTTCAATGCTGTTTGGCATGTTGGAGACAGGCAGTTCCAGACATTCAGCAGGTTTTTATCGAGAGATTAATTATCCGCAGAGGTCTCTTCCTCTTCAAAACAAACAGACCTGGTGATTTAAACCGATAAAAAAAAAAAAAAAAATGAATAAAGCAAAAAAGAAGAAAGAAATCTGTGTTTTTCTGATGAGGAGCTTCTCATTATGGTGGCCAACACAAAACAGCAAAAATGCAATTAGCCCTACCTAGAGCCAGTGTTTGGTTTGGCTAATGTAGAAATATGGTGGTACAACATGATGGTCTCCATAGATGAGGACCTGCTACATATGTAGATATGAATATTTTCAGGTGATGAAACTAAAGAAAACATACTTATTAAGTGTACTTAATATTCAATTTCTGCCANAACAAACGTTAAACATTAGACATCAGTGCACAGGACACAAGGACAGGACTGCTGCTTCATTCATGGGTTTTTTACGTGCATCCGAGCGCCTGTGCCGTGCGTAATTCAACTGGGAAGGCGCAGCAGAGCCAGCAGGGTTTCTTCACAAGAACACAAATAATATAAGATATTACACAGTTTTACACACAGTTTTACACACAGAATATCCTCTAAAACTCTTAATATCCTCGTTAATTGCCTTTTGCTGACAACAATCCCATGCAAAGCAGCAAGTGCAGAGTGAATGACTGAATGAATGAATGAATGAATGAATGAATGAATGAGGATTCAAATTACCGGTACGTATTTAATCCACACTGCCTCTAACACCTCATTGTCCACTCTGTGAGCGCAGGAGGGGGGAGAGGATGGTGCGACTGCATGGAATATATTTATTTATTTAGCTAAATATTTCCAGTGCATTTATCATGTCTCAAAATACAGCCATTAAGCACAACCGTTTCATCAGCGCTACTTAGACGTGTTGTTCATGACTAAACCGGCATGAAGATACGTGTTCGCCTATTACACTTTCATCTTTGAATTGTATTTCAAATTTCACGTTGTATTTTGGGACAGGGATACCACTGGTTCATGCTGTAATTCAGGCAGGGAGTCTGATCAGACTAATTGACATAAACATATAAATACTGCGGTGACCCTCATGAGTAATTGAGCAAGATGGCACTGGCACATACTCCTTTTTGCCTCCACCTTTAATAAATGTGATTCTTTATGTCACACATCAATGTCAAACATCCTCAAATTTAAAAGCAACACATTAACTACATGTTGGTAAAGGAGTAGAAATATTTGGTCTGCCTTTAGATCAGACCATGTTTTTTTTTGTTCTGTCACTGTCCGTACAGTCCCACAGACACAACTGACAGCATCAGCAGCCTTGATGTGTTGCCACTTTTTTTGCTTTCTTTTATTAGTGATCCTGCTGCTGTGGCCACCAAATAAAATCTGTCTTCAGTCCTCCATCTCCCATTAAAGGGTCTCGAGCTCAGTCTCGGAGAAATTCCATTTTTTGGTTCATTTCTCACACCTGTCGTGGTGACTCACAATGAAAGAACACTCGCATGCCGGCTTATTTATATGCAGATCGCATTCATGAGGTGATTTGCATGACCATTTATGGTTGAACTAAGGTGTGTAGAGGGCGGAATATGAGGCGGATCTGGGTGCGCACAACTCCAGGAGGTCTGTGATGTATAAAGAGAACATTGCGTGCAAGTGTGCGTGCACACAGTTTTATAAATCTGATTATTTTTTGGCACACACAATTTTCAGCTTTTGGGCACACGTCAACGTTTAGTATGAATCCTAAGCACTCTTTTATAAATGAGGCCCCTGGTCCATTTGTTTTGGAGAGAATGAGAACCTCTGTGGATAATGCAGCTCCAGGAAAAATCTCTTGAACTGAAGACAGAGGGAATTTAAATTAGGAGAAGTTTCAGCTGGTTGCAATCTACAATCCTTGCCACTGGACACCACTAAATGTCCATAAATCTTAGACACTGGATCTTTAAGTGGCACAGAGCAGCCATCTTTTATGTACGGCTGTGACTCGTTCCCCAGATCCTACTGTCCACATGTCTTAGTATCCTTGGGCAAGATAATGGGGCTGTGTCACTGGTGTGTGAGTGGTAGCCTCTGTTACCGGTGTATGAATGTGTACCCAAATGGGTTAATGTGGCAAGTACTGTTAAAGCACTTTGAGAGGTTGGAAGACTAGAAGATGCTATACAAGGGCAAGTTCATTCAAGTCTTCTTCATACATAATTACCTGTTTTCAGTTTAAAATTCATAGCCAAGTCTTCAAGACCAAGCCTGGATGCCTTGAGGTTGTTTTCTCCACAGACAACATTACACAAAAGTTTGCACACGCTTTGCAGTAGTTCCTGTGATTAGTAGATTGACTTTGTCAGTTTCTTTAATCATTTTATTGTTTTTAACTTTATACAGGTCATAAAAAGTCTGTAAACTATCTTATTAGCTCATGCCTTCACTTTGAATTGTCAAAACATCTGTTTAAAACAGACTGACAGGGTAACATGGTCCGTGTGGAGCCGTGTGTTGATTTTATCACTTTCAAAAATCACCTTCAAGTTTAAGTGTTGTGCGCAGACTGAACAGCGGTCATCAGTTTCTGGTTTTGTCAGGGGAAAAAGAAAACAGAGAAAAACAGACACAGACCTCAAGTTTTTCTGAGCCTTTCTTATTTATTTCACCATTGAGTCTTTGCATAGAATTAGAAAACAGTTAAACACAAAAAACAGACAGAAAAACTGAATTTCTGCATTTTTCTTTCAAATTACAGCTTAATGCAATGACAGCTTGGTAATCATCTTACCTTGTTTTTAATAGTTTTGACTCTGGATTCTGTGGCTTTCTTATCTGTTGATTGTGGAGTCCGATTTTAAAGCAGTGTTGTCTGATATGCCACACTCACTTTTAGCACTGCAGCTGCCCATCTGCTTGCGGCAAGAAATGCAGCAGATCTCTACTTTGAAAATGCGTCCTGAAGAGTTTCAGTTCAACCTGATCTCACAGAAATATGTGAAATGACCACGACCTCTTAACACCGCATTCCGTTGTGGCAGCACGTAATGAGTTGAAATTACGTGCTGGTACCACGGAAACAATGCCAATGTAAAGTCAATTAGGATCCTTTTTCGTGGTGGACACACGAATTCCCTGATTCAATAACATCCTGTATACACACAAAACACGAAAGTGTTCTTGATATTAAAACGGCAAATATATTCCTCTGTTATAATTTCCCACCATAATAATAATAATAATGATAATAATAATAACATGATAATTCGGCTGTACTAGACATTTGATAGGCCTGTAATCAGTAGATGTATCTTTTACGACTCTATTTTACAACAAGCCGCAAAAAACCTACCGTCCCAAAAATCCCGTTTTTAGATACTATCTAAAATATCTGAAATTTGCCAACATCCTTGCTTTTTTTCTTAACATAGTACATCTAGGTGCAGTGTAATAACTAATTCAGCTTTACTAGAAATTAGATATATTCAGTAGATATATCTTTTTAAGACCCTATTTTACAAGCCGCATACACCTACCGTCCCAAAAACACTGTTTCTAGCGTATTAGCTAAAATATCGAAAATTAGCGGACATCTTTACTTTTTCTTAACATAGTTCATCTAGGTGCAGTGTAATAACTAGTTCGGCTTTACTAGATATTAGATATATTGGGTAGATATATCTTTTTACAACCCTATTTAGAGCCCTACTTTGCAAATCAGAAGAACTACAACTATGTTGCTGATATGTATCAAACTGCA